GACAACCCCTGGGCATTTGAATCTTTGAAGAATGGCTCGTTCAAATCCCGTCCTCCAGGCCAAAATTTCCTTCAAATGCCCCACCCAATATTGAAAGACTTTTTGTGTGATCTGATCGACGAATGTTGTAGAATTCAGCAAAGTCACACTTCAGTTTTTGGCGCTTCTGGCGTGAGAGGATATTGAAGCTCCAAATAGGCCATTTTACAGTTGTGTACTTAATTGCCAAGCCTTTGATTCAGAGTGAGGCTGAATGTGACCTTGTTGTGATAGAGACCTGTATCTACTTAGCATGATAACAAAGTGATTTACATTTGAAAGGCAGCAAGGTTTGCATCATAACAAGGTCAACCCTAGCCTCACTCCCATTCAAAGGCTTGGCAACCAAGCACACAACTGTAAAATGGACTATTCATCGGCTCATAACACAACTATGAAAAAAAAAACAGAGTTTCAACAAGAAGATTTGCTTCAGTTTGAGGTGGGACTATAAGAGAATGTCCAAACCTCTGGATAGCATTCCTCATCCTCCTCCAGTGCCTTCACTTTGAGAACCCTTTGTAGCTTGAGAATGGCCCTCAGTTGGTCGCAGCAATTTTCAATAGTTAGGTTCCTCTTGATTGCAAAAAGAATTTTTTCCAAAACAGGCACTGACCAACCTACTCCCTGAAAGGTTGACACAGTCAGTCAGTCAATTAGCTAACCTTCTGTTGAGTTTTTCATAGAGTTAAAACATCACTCACTACGTCAAGCAATTGATCGTTCGGTCAATCAATCAATCAATCAATCAGTCAATCATTAAATCAGTCAGTCAGTCAGTCCATAAGTAAGTCAAGGATTCACCCAGCCACTAACTCATGTTACAAGACTTTATTTACCTTTAAAATTTCATGAAAGCTCCTTTCATCAATTAAAGAGAAAAAGTTCCGAGTCAAAAACAACAGACAAGATTCTTGGACAGCAGAAACAGCCATGTGAACAGGCTCAGTCCACTTGACCAGTGGTGTACATGAAGACAGTTTGTCACACTGATTCAAGACTTCTATGCCTGATGCTACGACCTGCAGTCAAGACAACATATTCTGTTACTCTAACTTTAAATTATTAAGCACTGAACAAATATGCTACCTACTTTTAGCAAACGACATTTGCAATTAAATGTTACTCCTTCCACTGGTTTGCAGTTTGGTTTTTCAAGAATTATTTAAATGCATACAGAACAAATGTTTAGTATTGGAGGATGGTAAACCAATGGTTTCTAGTGATGTTGGGATTCAACTCTTCTTGTGATTTGATAAGAGTACCACAAAGGGTATGGCAAAGCCAATACCACAAAGGAGAAGAAAAAAAAAACTAAATTGAAGCCATTTTGAAAATTAGCTCAACATTGATTGTTGGTTTTTAATCCTTGAATAATCCAAAATGCATATCTTACAAAGCTTCTCTGGATTTCAGCCAAAATTTCTTCCTGGAGTGGCTTGGGAAGTGCAGCGAATCCCTTAGTACCCATAGTACGATCAAAGTGTTTTGCCATCCACCTGCAAAGAGGACATTTATATTATCCAACTAAGAGCATGCAGATAATAAACAAGATTACAATTCTGTTAAAAAAATCCCTTACTTGATGCAAGATTTCTTGAGTTCAGTAAGACTAAACAACTCTGATACTTCCAAGCACTCAGGAACACCAGTCAGACATTCTGCACAAGGCTGGAAAAACAACAGAAGTGACAATTTGCATGAAAACAACTAAGCTCAAACTTGAAAATCCAAGGAGCCATGATCACTTTAAAACAGTGTAGGCAGCTGAGTTAAATTAAGCTTGTGCAACAAGCATGGTGTTTTGCAAAGCAAAAGACTATTCTACATATAGAAAATATATGTAGAAAACATAAAGAAATACCATTCCCTTACTTCTTTTGCTTGCAATCTCTGCAACATGATTTCCAGAATTCTGGGACATATTTGTCTCAATGAGTAACTTTTGCTTGCCAGACAATGATGTCAAAAATACTTATTTTCTGTCTTTGATCACAATTCTCAAAGTGGCTGAAGATGTCAAATGGGCATGGGTGAAAGCTTCCACCGTCCTAAAAGCTTCTAATGACAGCCCTGATTAAATATCTACCTTTTACTGGATTATACTATCATACTTCCTGGGATCACAAAGAGAGAGACACTGTCTCAGGACATTCTCTTGCATCAGTATTAATTAAAGACTTTTTTCAGACTATGTAGCAAAACAAAAGTAATTATAACCTGATAAATCTCACCTTGTGAAACATATGACACTTGTCTATTTTTAAAGTACAATTAATGATTTCTCTAAGTCCTTCCAGCCCATACATGTCCACAAGAGGAAGTGCATCACTGCCAACAAAACAAAAAATAATAAGGAAAACAAAAGCAACATATTTTGTGGCCAAACCAGAGATACCTTGGCAATAACTATTACTCTCAAGTAAAATGTAATACAAAATAAAACAATTGTGGCAACTCAATTTTATAAGTTTTTTTTTTCAATTTATGATCCCCTAGTTTTTTTTTTCAGAATACAAGTAAATTCTACAAACTTATCAATTATTGAGGCATCAGGTATCTACCAACAACTGTTATCTTTCAAAAGAGTTATAAACATCATTCACCATATGAGTGCAAAATCACCCGTCAAGTGAGCTGTTCCTCCATAAATATACTTCAGGACAGCCATGAAACCATTGTAATTCACACTAAAATGATAAAAACACCACCCATCAATTGGCTGTAAACATACAACAGACAAGCACACTATTAACTTATTAATAAGAACTCCCTTTAGACATTCTCAAATCCATGAGTGACTATTCTCATGAGAGCCGCTAGGGTCAATCAGGGTGCATCATCCAAGAACCAAACACAAAGACCCTGTTTTGGCAATGAACCTGGAGACTTTCAATCCAGAGTCCTGCTCACTAATTGCTGGGCCACTATTAATAGCTGGTCCTATACAGAAGGAAGAATTTATGCTCCAGCAGTTGCAGGAGGAAACAGGGAGGTGTCATTATGATATTAAATTAGGAGTTGTAACTCACCCAATCAGAGGAATCTCATTAGTTTTCCCTTCAATCCAGTCACCATACAGCATGGCTGAGAAGTAATTAGATCGTGCACATAGAATAGCTCTGGGAAAAAAATGCAGACAATTTTCTACCTAACAACAAAAGAGAAATAACAATGCTACACCTCCATATTAGCACTTACTTGTGAGCTTTAACTTTGCTTCCATTGACTACAAAGACAACATCAGATCCAACTTCACTCATCAACAACTGAAGTAAATCTTGGCCAAGAGTACAACTGCAGCTCTTGAAATTACATAAAACAGGACAAAACAAAACCTTGCATTTAAGTTTGTTTTAAATGGTAAATGTATGGAAAAAATGTTGAAGTCATTCAAACATAATTAAGTGTACTTATCATCCACCTTTAATTCATCTACTGATGGTTCATTCACTGGTGGAGCAAGATCTGATGAAAACAAAATATCACTTGGGCACCTGAATATAGCAGAATCATTTAATTAACTGTTAAAACTGTTGCTCTTTGTCTTCCTTGCCAATCTTCAACTACAGTTTTTAATGCTACTGAGGGCTAAGTTGATTTAAATACAGTGGAACCCCGATATAACGATATGCCAAGAGAGCAGTGGAATTAGATCATTATATCGAGTTATTATTATATTGAGATGGGGTTCTGTCCTATACAATTTACCGTAACTTTTGCTGGGACATAGCATATTTATCATTGTAGCAGGAATATCGTTATATCGAGGATCGTTGTATCGGGGTTCCACTGTAGTTTGATCCGTCTGTGGGGTGGGGTGGGGTAGGGGGTAGGGTGGAGAGGGAAGGGATAAGGAGTTCAGGTATAACCAATAGGCCATTTTACAGTTGTGTACTTAGTTACCAAGCCTTTGATTTGGAGTGAGGCTGAAGGTGACCTTGTTGTGACAGAGACTAGTATCTACTTAGCATGATAACAAAGTAATTTACATTTGAAAAGTAGTAAATAAATGTTTGTATGATCATAACAAGGTCACCCTTAGCCTCCTCACTGCTGTTCAAAGGCTTAGCCACCAAGCATGCAACTGTAAAATAAACCATTTCCACATCATGGTAACAGATCAAATTTAACATCATCATTGATTTATATCTGTTATTTTGAATTTTCGAAAGAAACCTGGTGGAGGACCGTGGAAAGGGAAATGAAGGACAACAACTGGACTTGGGGGCACCTGGAGCGGCAAGCACCCGCCAGACATCAATGGCGAACTCTGGTCGAGGCCTTATGTGTCTCTTAGTGACACGAAGAGGATTACCAAAAAAAAAAAATTTTGAATTTCTGAATTACCTCGCTTTGTTTTGAAACTATTCTCCAAAATCCTGCCACCAGCTGAAGTCACTCCATAATTTGTTTCAATTGTTGTCTTGACTTCAGCAACCTGGTTCTTAAAGAGACAGCTTGAGTGTGTAACATGCGAGTCACATCCCAATCCATTTGCAAGGCAGTTTGATTCTACATTTTCCTCTTCAACCACATTACCAGGGCCATCAACTGAATCACTACTATGAAGATTTGCTTCCAAATTGTGTTGCTGCTGATTTACATCTAATGCATCAGTCTCTGGCATGTCACCACAGTCAACAGTAAAATAGTCACATAACTTAAGATGTGAATCAATTCCTCCATCATTACTCATACAACTTGCTTGTGGCAGTTTGGAGTCGGACTGATAATCATTATCTGTAGGTTGACTAGGATCTTCTCTTTCAGAACTTCCCATTACATTGCTGTCACCAACAGTTCCTGACCTATTACCATTCATGTTACAATACGACTGAGTGCAAGTAGCATCACTGCCAAAAAATTCCTCTGGCTCCATTGGTGCTTGCACAGTACTTTCCTTCCCTGCGCAGACCTCTGACTGGGCATTTTTTTGAAGCTTGTCATGAATTCTACCAGTATCATTTTCAAATATTTTACAACTGTAACTGTCCTCTTTAAGTTCACTTTCAACAACATGGTCAATTCCATCTACTACACTTGATATGTTTTCTTTTCTCCAAGGGTGGCTTGATCCATTGTAATCTTTAAAATCATCTTGTGTATAAGCAGACCTTTTGAAAAAAGAACAGAGAAAAATGAAGTAATAGTAAACTGGTAGTGAGAGTTTCTTGTTCTTGAATGGTAAAATAAATGTTAATTTAGATAAAACCTTCTCTGCCTGTACCTTAAAAATTTCTCAAACTCACTGGCCTCTATTCCATTTATTTGGATGTATGTTTGGACAGAAACTGGGGAGGCATATCTTGGAAGAAAATGTTGACAGAAAATTGGAGCTCTTGCTCTGAGAACAACTGCATGGGCTTGAAATTCAACATCATTTATCATAAATGTGACATCACTAAAGGATGTGTCTCCAAACAACCTGAAAGTGAAAACAGACTAATTAACTCTTTTACTCCGACAAGTGATTGACATGTAACTTCTCCCTAAGATATCCATACAGTATCTAGAAAACAGGTAGTGAGAATACTCAAGCTTATCAGGTTGAAGTTGTTCACTTGATTGAACACCAAATTCTCTTAACCAATTTACAAGGAAATGTATGGCAGCTAGAGGGGAGAATTAACAATCAGATCTTGGGAGGGGGGGTCACAACGTGTTTTTAAAATTCAATGATGCAAACTAAGCATGTAAAATAAGAAACTGAGTGACATCCAGCATGTTTTGAATCAGTCTGGAGTTTATTCTCACCCAGGTGTGAGACCCTGTTAGGGGGGGTATAGATGTCGCCCATCTGAATTTTAAACTTCGTCACATCGCCATTTTGGAAGGTTCTGATGTCACTGTCGCAATTTCATCAATGTCTTGCTCGAAGTCGCATTTTCATTTCCCTGATGTTGCTGTTTCAACGCCATGTTGCCTGTTGGAATTTACCCTATCAGGGCCTCGGGTGCACTTCACGACTCATTACCCTTAACATTCTAACATCAGTATTCAACTACTCCATACTGTTCTCTAAACATTTCCTAAGGTATTGACAAGGAGCTCAGTTGTTGAGTTGGCTATCATACCCTTATTCTCATGACCTTTGCTGTTTGATTCAGCAGTGATACGGTAAGGAGTAATCAGAAGCCAGTCACTCTTAAGGTTTATGATTAAAGGGTTAAGAAAAAACTAGGTTTGATCGACTAACTGATTTATTTCATAATTGTCGATTCTCTTTGGAAAAAAAAAAGAGTACGAACAAACTAATATGCAATCTTTTTTTTGCGATTGTTTCTGGGTTTTCTGATAGATTTTCTCTTAAGTAAATCAGCAAATAAACTGGATGTGACGCTTCACCAAGACAAACTATTTTATACAAATTAATAAAGACCTAGTGGGTGATTTTCTTAAGAAATAAAAAAAAACGAAGCTGAATTTATACCTCGGGCGTTTCCTTCGGAAACCCCGAGTAACTATGATGCTGGGTCGGTGGAGGATCGGAGAAGAACATGGTAAACGCTCGAGGTGTCAGCTCTAAAACTCTTAACGGTGGACAATTTTACATTATCAACTGATAGAACCAATTTTACATTGTTTTATACTAAGATCATTACAACTACTCACGATATGAATAGATTCTGATTCAACGCTAAAAATATAAACTTCTATCTTCGACCTTTACCTGGATAGATCTGCGAGTAGATCTCGCTTGGCAGCTTGCCGTAGCTTTTCTCTTGCAGTTTCTTCTCTTTCCTTAAAAGCCTTGCTCTTAAGAAACGGCGCAGAGTTCATCGCATAAAAACAGTCTACATAGCTGATTCAACAGTATGGCGAATGTGTTATTTTGTGCCAGGCGTTACTCGTTACTCCCGCCAGAAGAACTCGGCCGAGTCTCTCTCTGTCTCAGGAACACCTGCTAAACGTGCGCGTGCACTACGATGGAATATTTATTTTCACTTTCATGCCACTTGTTTAGGTGCGTGCAATGCAATGGTTCTTTTCTTATTGAAAACAAAATTCATTTGACTTAATGAGAGGTAAGTTTATTTTACCATACCATTTACTTCTTATTCACTGTCTTTTCCAGACTTCCACCGGAAACAGCACGATTTCGGTATTCGTCAAAACGTAATAGTTACGTTCGCTCGCATAATCTGCCAAAATGAACCAGATATATTACATAAGCAATATCCCAAGCAATTTAACTGTTAGTCCGAAATCCTTTCATGTCTTTTATGCACACAGAATTCCATGATTCACAAAGTTATTCTCTCTGATTCGGAGATTGTCATACAAAATAATTACAAACTAAATTAAAATTTGCGATTGTTTTTGGATCTTTATACCATTTGGCATTTACGAAAAAATATAAGGAAGATTTGCGAGATGAATCCCCATGAGTTCAGTTTGAGAAATCGTAAGGGGAAAAAATAAAAACCATTTGTATATATTTTAGCAAGAATTTCGCTTTGAACTTCTTAGTTTTTTTTGCCTAAAGTGAACGTACGCGTCCTGCAAAAATACAAAAGTCAGACATGTTTTTCTTTCTTGTGTGGAATAGGAAGGGGCAAACTGATGTATGTTTAGCTTGTTGCACAAGAAGGTGAGAAAACCAGGGAGGTTAGATGACCTCTAAAGTTATAGATTTGCCGTAGCCAAACTACATAAGAACGTGTTCGTGCTATTAGAAATTTCAGGCCCGCCGACATTCATCTTCAGAACGAGAGAGGAAGCAAAAATCACGAAAGATGTAAAAGTTTTTGAGACAAAATGTAGACAACAGCATCAACAACAATTAATCTAGAGAAATAGTGTCCAAACAGCCACCGTGTTTGGAAGAGGCTGTAAGCTATTATAGTGGTCGGTAATCCGCGATGTCCGTACTTAATGTTCCTATGGCAGCATGATTCCTATTCACATATGCAACGGTTGACCAAATATCAAGTTCCTAAGATTCAGTTTATTCTACTTTGCTTTTCATAATCAACTTGGCACATTAAAAGGTCTTTTTTTAATCCACGCTCCTCTCCGATGTTCAGTTTAATTTTGCGACAATGTTGTTATGGATGGGTTTTGTGAAAATAATAAGGCTCATTTGCATTTGAGCACCTGTTTGTTAATCCCTTGAAGTGATTCCTCCTACAAGCGGTGGAAACCTGCATCAAACAAAACGATTTTCTTCACTGACTATTAAGGTCGGCACACACGAGGGGACAAGTCCCTGCGACTAGTCCTTGCGACTAGTCCCGGCGACAAGTCTTTGAAAGGTTTACACGAGGAGACCGGTAGCAGGGACTAGTCCCTTAAGGTGTTCATACGAGGGCGCTCAATTGCACAAGAACATAGGAAAATTAAGAGGCAAAAGATGTTTCTTAGTCTGGGGCGTTACACGAAAACAATTAAAATTTGGTAACTTTTCATTGTAGCACTATTAAACATCAGCGCAAGCGAACTACACTTATTCAGTCGAATTATTCATGCTTTTACGTGTTCCGTTTTTGTTTTGTTTTATTTTATTTTTAACAGACAGTCAAATAGGGTAAAAATTCCATCAAAACGGCTTCAAGACATCTGTATATGTTTACAAAACTAGAAATAGTTTTTTTATTCTTCAGTTGTAGAAATCTAGAAGTCAGGGAAAATTCATCATTAGAAACTGCAATGTTTACAAATACCGGAAGTCACGCATCATACTGACCCATGATTGGCTTATTTACCGTTTAGTCGCAGGGACTGGTCGCACGAACAGTTCACACGAAGGGACAAACATTTGTTTCATGCGACAAGTCCCTGCGACTGGTCGCACGAATTCAAACCAGTTTGAATTCGTGCGACCAGTCGCAGGGACCAAATTTTGGTTAAGGTCTAAAGAGAAATGTGTAGTTCACGTGAAGGGACTAGTTGCATGAAACTGGTCGGTGGGACTAGTCGCAGGGACTAGTCCCCTCGTGTGTGCCGACCTTTAATATAAGTGGACTGTCTAGGGCCTGGAAAGGACTCTGATAAGGGACCAGTCATTATCCATCCTCCGGGGCAGAGCGGTGGAGGGTTTTAGAGGAGGGGGGGGGACCTAGGGAGGATCAGTCGTCGCCAACAGAGCCTGACCGCCAATTAACCGCCAATGAGGGGGATTATACAATATCAAGGAGCATAATGGGGGGAGAAGGTAAATTTTATCGTGACTTAACCAAAATCTTCTAACTCCCCCTCTCCTTCGTGGTCGTGACGGTAAATAATGACCGATCTCTATGGTACGAAAAGTCTGGTGAGTGTTACACGCATATCAAAACTCGTGGTTTTTTTTTTGTTTTTTTTTCCATCTTTTCTTTTTTTTTTCTCAAATTTCCAGTTGTACTTTTTAACAGTTAAAAACATATTCAGTGTGGTTCCCGTTTGTCTATGGTATGCTCAGTCAAATCCTCTGACAGCGCTGAACATTGAAGAAAAGAAAAAGTAGTAACAAAGGTCAAATACGTAAATGCTGATCTACCGAATCATAGCGGTACAAGCTTCTCACTATAAGCAGAGTACGAGTATTAAGTAGTAACTGAGGAAGTAAAGTAGTAAAGTGTAAGGCAACATTAATTATCAATATGCCGGTTAAATCAACGACAACGTCGTTTTGGCTTCCGTTTGGCTAGCGTAGATAACAACAACGCAAGAAAAAGAAAACACTGCTTTCTTTCTTTCTTTTAATGCAAAGTATATCTTTTCATTGGATCGGGTTAATATAAGTATACAGAATTTTTCTTTCACTATGACAAGAACTAACAACCTATTCATCCATTGTTTTGTTTATTTGTTTTTTTTTTGTTTGTTTGTTTTCCTACAAACGTTTCATCGGAGGAATAAAAGTTAACTTAAGTTTTATCGGTGACTAATTCGTCACTTATTTTTCGGCTTTGGTTAGTCAGTACAAAATGAACACACCAAAAAGTATCGAACCGTTCAGGTGGAAGTGTTTAAGTCCAGCTGTTATTTTCACCGAGAACCTCGAAAAACCGCTATTTACGCAAGCCAATATAGGGAAGTACACCCACCCCCACGAGGTTCCAAGCACCTATTTACCATTGAATCATAGTAGGTAGAAGTTGTCGTCTTGATCTGACACCAAATTCTCGTAACCCTGACAAAGAAACGAATAGCTTCTAGAGGATCTAGAGAGGAGATTTGACAATCAGATCTTGGGAAATAAAGTGTTAAGGGCTCGTCGTTGTTTTAATTATCAGCTTTTCAAGACTGTTACATGAAGGCGTCGACTACTCGATCTGCGAAACAAAAGTTGTCAGTGTAATTTTTTTGTTTTATTTCGAAGCCAGTATGAGGGACTATCTTATCACCTTTGCTTCAAATTTAAAACATAAATGGATAGAAATTATTTTAAATGGATTGACCTACGTTTTGAATTATAAAAGGTCCGACAAATTCCACAGGATATTTTAATCAGGACGAACATATCCACCGATTGAAAGCTCGTTAATAAAAGCTGTGTCATTTCCTCTAATTTCCGTCAGCTTTTACTCAAATAGTGTCAGATTCCATCCGAAGAGTCTGTTATAGAAATCTCTTTATTCATTTTTCTTAGTTGAGGAGTGGCAAATTTGCTTTTGCTGTGCTTCTCTGTTATCCTTTTTGGCCTGTGTACTGAAGATAGAAATTTCGCTTTAAGATAAATCATAATTCAATCAACGAATACTGATAAAATTGCGCCTATCCTTGTCTTCTTGCGGTTTTTCATGAAGAACCGTCTCAATTTGGCTTTCAGAGGCTAACAACGTCTCTGATGATCACAGAACGCATATTAAAACATCGTAAAACACCTCGAGTTACTGGCCTCAAGTTACTGGCCAGCAATGTGTGGCCTGAGCTTTGTTGTTTACTTTTCTCTTCTAACTCCCCATAGCGAGGATGTTATCTAGCATTGATAGACACCTGTATGTGACAACTGTCTTGAGTGCTCACCACTCGGTCACGATATTTGGAACGAGGTCGTTCTAATGATTTTCAGTAATGCGAAATAGATGTTTCTGTTTCGCCGCGCAAACATTTCGTGTCTGATTGGGTATGTAGTAACAAACGACAATGAATGGTTAGTGGTTGATTGTTTTAACTGGATTCACGCCTAGAAATAAACACGCAAAATTACTTTGGATTTGAAAGTCAGTGCATTTTTAGTGTGAGTTATTGCAGACCTTGCACAAGTTAGTCGTATTTTAACTGTGGTTTTCGATCCGTGATGTGAAATCATAGATTTTCTAATAAAAGCTAATTAGTGAAGTTCCTCCCTCTGAAAGGGTCAACTTTGACATCAATAATCACAAACAGACGTAAACATTTTAAAATGTCTTGACTGTATTAATAAATGTCACGTCTCCTTTAGGGACTGGAGCCGGTGATCCATGGCAAGCGAATATTGACAGACGGGACCGTTTCATTGATGACTATTTGGTTGGTTGGTTTTTTTTTCGGTAATAGATCGGTTGTGGAGATTCCATAAAAAAATGGAGGAGAATTCTACTCAAAGCTACTCTTATTGACGACAGCATGGTTCAGTTATGCTTTAAGACGCAGATTACACGGAAGAGAAACGAAAAACTCAGAGGTATCTGTTATTATTACACTTAATGTTATTCTTAGAATGATATCGTGGGAAGTGACAAGTCGATCATGCATGTTTCACCAAACTAAATTATGTGTGTGGAGGTCGCTCCATCCGCAGTGAAACGGAAGAGGATTATTGTCCTTTAAGTTGTGCATAGCTAATCTTTCGTCTCTGCGGGTAACTAACCTGTCAAAAATAACATTGCCGAGTACAGCGCTTGGCCGAAATGTTTCGTCCTCACGACGCTTTCTTTGGGTCACATAAATATTTATTGAAATACTGATTAGGTCAAGTGAGTCACTTTATTTGTTTTAGACAGTTTTTCGAGGCCATTATTATGTTTTGATTAAACTACTAAATAAAAGCCTGCAATGAGTTGAATTAGAATGACAGTTCATTGACTGTTAACAGTGACTATCGGTTTGATAAGATTTACGATTCTCGACGTGCGTGGTTTTTTCGTCTCGGACATTGCTCAGACACTGAAGTTCCAGACAATTCTATATTATGTTTTGTCCGTCTTACAGAGACACTAGTTCTTGTGCCAATATTCTGGGCAAGTGTTTCTTTTGAGTGCTTTTCGAGACTTTTATCCTAAAAAAAGGACGGATTGAAAAAGCCTGGTTTTTATTTTGTTTCGTGAAACAGAAGGCAGATACGTACGAGTATTGTCGTCAGTCGACGGGATGCAGTTCAAACTGCAGGCTTCAAGCAACTAGATACTTTGAAAAATCTCGAGTTAACATTCCGCGAGTGGTTCACTCAGTAAGTGACGAGCCTTGGGCATTGATTGACCTCTGATACTGACTACCAGCAAAGTTTATTCCTTCAAGCAATCCATCTTACAGAATAGAAACAAATCAGGTCTACAAATCTTCCGAAAAATCTTCATTGCTTTGTGAATTCTCGGGGTCTTCTGCAAAATCCTTGGACAAAGGTACTGGAGCGAGTTGATATCAGATTTATCGTCCGATTGAAAAGGTAATATTTCCCGTTTTATGTTACTAGATTTTTAGCCGATTCACGATCCATACGAACACTTTTGTTGACACAAAAGACATTTTGGTAGGTTTGCGGGATAGCTGATAACATTATCAGAATTCGTTTATCATCACTGATAACAATGAAGCTTTTAGAGGCGCGTTTGTTGTCGCTCTAGTTCTGATTGATTTTGCTTTTACATGTATCGTTTGGCAGTTCTTTTCTAACCTTTTCCAAGACTGATAATCATCGTTCGCATGAAGGCAGCATTTATTGAGTTTCCCTACTTAGCGACAATTCTATCGAGAATGCGCACTCGATCGTAAATTATATAAAAACGAAGACTAGTGCCTTTCTCTTTCCGTAATCATAATTTCATTTTTCATTGGTCGTTTGATTTTCCGAGACAAGGACGGAAACTGTTACTATCTCAAATACAATTTATTTACCAGTTTTATAGATGAATATTTTTGCTCTTTGGTTTGCGGTTGGATTAAAGTGGAAGGTGGACAAATCTCCTGATATTTTAAGTCACGAAACCGGTCGTCAGGTATTTAAAACTTTCCTGATAAAAAAAATCGCCCGTAATACAGCAAGTGAAAGGTAACTTTGACGTTTTATAGCCACCCAATATAATTTACATCGCCCTTTAGTTAAGGACTTTGTCAAGAACGAGCTAAGGGGCCTCTTGTAAAGGAAATTTATTGTTGCCTACATACAATCCTCGACTAGTGGTTTCCGCATTGAGATGGCAGATTTGACCGGTTTTCTGTTCGTTTCTTGTCATGGAATGAGAGGTTTGCTCTGGTAGTTTTCATAACTTCTTTTTATATTTTTATGTACGTTATGAATTTTGTTACTGTCTAAACACGTTGTACTGTTGACTGACGATCGATCTATTAGCGAACAGTCCCAAAACTTTCTCGTGAAACCAAAGTAAAATGATAAACAACCACCGGCCCACAGAGAAATTTAGAGTTTTGCACTGAAGTGGGAAATGCCGCGAAATTTTCTTTAAGCCTCGTTAGACAGCCGATTTTTGTTCAGCTTCGTACACTGTGTGAGAAAAGGTTGGAGTTTAAAGTTGGAGACTAAAACCCTATTTTCTTGGTGAGCAGGAAAAGTAACCGAGGAAATAGTGAATATTGTCGGGGAGCTTCGAGGTGCCGTTATTGTATAAGCAACTTTTTCGGAAGTGAAAGTGGTTTACTAAATCGGGACACATTTTAGTCTTGTTTTCTTTGGTGAATCCAATTTTGGGTCCGACACGATATAACGATTCGACTTTAGTTAAGGTTCTTATCTTGTAGACTGATTCGGTTATTCTTTTGTGATAATCATTTCAATGATTTTCGCGCATTGCCGGCTTGTGTCTCTTTAAGGAAAAGTCCTCTTCAGCTTTCTCGATTTGTTAGTCGATCGTCAATGAAGATCGAAAGCTGCGAAGAATTGTTTTAGTAGCTTATAGGGGCAAATCCTTTCCTAAGCTGGTGTTTTGTTTCGTGAAGTGTTTCCAGCGTATCTGCTTTCATCGATGTCGTGGGTTTTAGTTCTGTGGATCAGTTCGACCGCTATTAATTACGAAACAGCAAGAGAAAATTGTCACTGCTCACAGTCCATCATCAATAAAAAGTCGTGTATTAAGTTTCGTCCCACGGTGGACACAGGCGACAGCTGCATTTTAACAAGTTGCGGCGTATTGTGTGTTTTTGTCTCTAAAGTGCGTGATGTTTGCCTAACTATAATTTGCTGGATTATGTGTGTTGTTTTCCTGACCAAATTCCCACCGTTTTAAGCGTTTCCTTTCTGTGTTGTTTTCCTAAACATTTCCATCTTCAAAACTGAGTCTTTCTTTGTTTCATTGAAAAGTGAGGTTTATTGCATGGACAAAATAAACAAACGTGGAGAAGATCTATTAGATAATCGGTTAAAGCTCGACTACTTTTAACGCATTAAGTTCAGAGATTCTACTCGTACAGCGCCTTTCTTCACAATTAAAAGCATTTCTTTCTCACCTTCTGCAATTGCAGTTCGTGTTACCTTTCTTAGTTTTCTGTCCAAAATTCTGGAATCCTCACAGAAAATGCGAGTGCAGATAGCGCTCTAAATGAGGGCTCACCCAAAGGATTCAGTGATGTTTTTTTATTTTTTACTTTCACCTGTAACAGTGTTTAACTGTGGATTTTCTGTCTAGTCATGCAAACGGCTTTTGGATAAATTGTTTTGTCTCCGATCGTGAAAAAACTTGGAGAGATTATTGATGTATTTGCATCGTATTTCTAAACTTGGTAGCGACGACGGACAGAGAGTAATCAAAGGTGAAAAGAAGGAGAGAAACCTTTGCGCTTTTTCATAGAATTGTGAAAGTCTTATCGATTTAATAACAGTTTTTAACAGATTTGCATAGATATGTTTTGTGGAAATAGAGGCTGTTTATGTTACTGATATAACTACGAAGAGAAATTTCTGTGACAGTCATTAAGATTGTTATTGCGTAAAGGTCAAGTCCCATTCTCCTTCTTTAGAACTCTTTCCTTATCGTGTCGGCGTTTCGCGCCTTACCTCACTTTTTTCGCTGCCCTCTTTGGTAAATAGTTAACAGCCACTTAAAAATTAAATTCTCTTGCGGAGAATTTCTTAAACAAGGAAACCGCCTTTATTTGCAGAATTTCTTTTTCGAGCAGACAGTCTGTGAAAGTAAAATGGCGGTTTAAGTAAACGATATTTTATCGTTTGGGCGTGACAATTGCATTCTTTTATCATCTGATAATTGCTGTGGTATTTCCTTAATAGCGCTTTCCGACGGTTCCTTGATATCACAAGGTTGAAAGAAAGCCATTTCGATGGAAATAAAATGCCACCCTTTTTGTTGTTGTTTTTGTTGTCGTCGCACCAGAATACGAATATAACTGTTACTAGGAAGTGCGATATGCGATTTCACTAAACTCTAGACACACAGATGCCAAGGTACTTAACTTTTTGACCTCCATCTATTTAAAACATGATATTTAAAACATAAATTTTTTTAAGGACTTTATTTTCTGTCGAGCTCGAAACGTCACGTTCAGCTTTCGAAACAGAAACCAAGCCAGACTAAATCAGCTTATTTCTGAAGAGCAATGCTGTGACAACGAAGTAACCATATTGTCACCATGACAGAAAACGTCGAAACTGGTAGCTGTGGCTAGACCTGTTTTAATTTAGTTACTCCGGAGTAATAGCTAGAGGTCAACCACCATTAGTGGTGTGTTGGTAATTCTCAGTAATATTGCTAACTGGCTGCCGGACTTCGTTGCTAACGTGGTAAGTTCTCGGCAAGGTAACTTCACTCACTTGTTATACATACAGCAGGTTACTGTCTGTCTTGAAAAATTATATGGGTCGTTTTCTTTGGCTTTTTCATTTCACAGTACGCACGACGAAAGTGCTCTAAGAAGTGGTCTTAAATCTAAGGGAATAACTATCAAATTTGCTTAATGTATATAAGACTGAGTGATTACTTCGGAAGTTTTTGCTCGTTAAATCGTTTTTTATTTCCATTTTTTTGGCTTTGCTTTAATTTATGTACCTTATCTTAAGAAAAGAACCTGAAGCGATTAGAGTTATTTTTAAAAAATTCATTTTTGCACTCATCAAGTTGAAATCACAGTGTTTAATCGTCAGTGACAGCATGATTGGGCGTTTTTTATTTCTCAATACAATATTTCTACGTGTTGCCATCAGAAGTGCGATGTCAAAAACTACACTAGCACCTCCTGAACCTATATATCCATTGTAATATGCCGTCATTATATCCTCTTTTCCACACTAGAACAAAAGGGCTTACCGTGGCGAATATTGAAAGTTCCGTTTACACAGCTACAATTTGGACTTTTATTTTTTGGTATATTTGTCGCAGTTGATTTTCGGGAAAGATGGCAGGGAGATCTTTGCAACCCGATAATCGAGAAATTTTAGAAGTGCCTCAAAAACTTGAAATCAAACGACCGTCAATTTTAAAGGCGAGTTTTTGAGCACCCATCACTTGGGTATTGAGAATTGCATTCCACATTCTTGTTCGCTTATATACAGTTTGTTTAAAACGTCGTTTTTTGTTAATTAATATGAAGACTTAAATCATGTTCTTTGATTTCCGTTTGGTCAATATCGTAGTCATATCAGCGCACAGAAATTTTCATTAGCGTGGGTTATGAAGATTAACTATAAATGTCGCTATTTTGATCGTAAAAACGGCATGTGATTTGTTTCTTATGGTGTTTATAGTACTTCCAGTACCGGGTACCCAAGAATCTCCGAACTAATCACTGAATTGTGATATAAATCGGCGATGCACGGCAAAACTCCTATCGTTGTTTTTCAAACCTCTTACAAACCCTTTTGGCAGCACCGAAAAACATACTGAAATATTCCAGAGATCTGGAAACACTTCAACCGCAGAAATGAACGGCAAACTTTACTGGAGTTCTTATTTCGCTCTTTCCTCTCTGTTCACAGTAAATGCACATAATTCCATATGATCGCGCCCTGAACGTTTCCTCCTATCCTTAAATACATTTAACATAAACATAGAAAACAAAATTGTGTATCTATAGCACATACGAATATGCACAGATTAAATAAAATAATAGTAATCAATAATTTATTCTAAAGTCGATGACGTAGGAAGTGGTTGCCCAATCCTCCGAGCCGGTGGCTCGTTTTAAAAACACTCGACTCTAGATCGAATTGGAATTTGGAATGTTGGTTTTTGGGGAGGGAGAAAAACCCTCGGAGCAAAGGACGAGCCGAGAACCAACAACAAACTCAACCCGCGTATGACACCAGGTCGGGGAATCGAACCCGAATCGCCATTCCTTGTCTCCCGGTCTTCTCCAAAACAAAAGTGTGCAGAACAGCTGAAGGTGCTATTCGTGTGAAAATGACTCTAAAGCACCTTCAATTTTTTCTCGGTATCAAATTGCGATAAAAGTGGCAATGGGTTTTCTTTTCTTACTGCTTTTTGTCATAAAAATCTATACAGAGAGAGAGACTTCAGAAAATCTGTATTTTTCTCGTCAAGTTGATGCAAGTTTTATTCAGTTCAACATCAAGGAAAGTTTACGTGAAGTAAAACAGAACTTGGAATAGTGGTTTTTATAGGCGATACAAACCTGAGAGAGGCAACTTATATAATTAGAATGATAAGGCATGGCATAAAGAAACCAGAAGGCTAAGGGGCCTTCCTAAGGCGCAGAAATGGTTAAAACGGCGCAGAGCAATAAGGGGTGCCAAAAAAAAAAAATCTCAAAAGTTGAGGCTCACTAGTACTATTTTGAGACGTATGACTCTGTAGATAGGTTCGTACATTGCGTTGGTCGGAAATTACGCGCCAACGGCGAGATCGAGGAAGAAAGGGAAATATTCTCCTCCATTCTTCTCTCTGTTGTTGGCGTGGTAGTTCGTGTTCAGTTTGACTGATTGATTGAAGAAACACACTGTAATACCGGTGCCAATAACTCCTCACGAAGCAGTCTCACAAACAGATGTTCTTTGTGAGTTTATCTTGTGATATCTCTACCTTGAGAATTAAGTGTTAGGCGCAACAAACCATCAAAGAGCGCAAATTGATTTCATTGACCCTCTTTAACCTCTCCTCGTTTACTGTGAAAAACGGACTTTTTCAGTAATTAAAAAGTCAAAAGCAATTCTGACGGATTGATTTTTCGCCCTCTTAAAGTCATAAACGAGGCTTTGTAAAAGTAAAACTCAAACATTCGTTGACAAAACTGAAGTAACGATGTAATACTATTAACTGTAAAAGTAAATTGGATTTCGTCAAATTCTAATGTAATATTATTCCGTCATATCGTTGTGTGCGATATTTGAGGAGCCGTTACCGTGGAAAAATCGTGATGTCTTCCATCATGGGGGCTGAGTGCAGTATGAGAGCACAAGCCCTCCTCAAATTCCTTTGATCATAAAAAGATGAATTTCCTCACTGTTCCCGCTGTCAGGCAAGACCATTGCGGAGATGCTGGAATTTTCAATGATGTTCAAGTTACAAAAAAAACAATCCATATCGTTTCCTTTTTCTTTTTTACAACTATTAATTTTCATGTGGGGGTGAATTTTTTTCCGCTGCACAAAAAAGTATTAAAAATTATTTTTGCTTTCCTTTTCAAATTTCTCGGCTCAATTTCTATTGAATAAAAGTTAGGGTTTTATGTGTTCCTTTTCCTGATATGTTCCTCCTCGTCACAAGTCTCTTCAAGGCTATTTTCTTAAAAAATATGGTCGTGTTTTTATTTGGAACAATCGTAATGTTTGACCCTCGGTCAATGATATGATTGATGGCAGATTGTAGACGTTGATCTCTGTTTATTCTCACCTCGGGGCTGTAAATCTCTTCATGGTATTAGCCGAAGATTAAGTTGTCGTTTGACATTTTGCCAGTCGAACCAGTCGGGAAAGCAAACAATGCTACTACACAAGAAACCCAAGCGGCTTTTGCCTAAAAGAATAAAAGATTTCCCGTGGATTTTCCCGCTGTTACTCCGGGAGGCCAAGCCGGAATAACTTTGGTAATTTATTCTCGGTAATTCTTTTCAATGCGAATTTGCATTCTTAGTGTACGGCGCCTCAAAGAAAATGAAACAGGAGGCATAGGATAGACTCACACACGCGATATCAGCTCTAAATCTCGACGTCGCGTTGGAAAGGCGTTTAACGAGTGCTCTGGAAGTAGGCAAATGCTTGATAGATTGATGTTTAATTGACGCACAAAACTGACAGTAAGAGCTCTAAAATAGTCAGGTATGAAATTTGTGGTTCTTATTAGATTGTGTTTCCTTCCATGTCGAGATCTTTTCCAATAAATTTCACTTGAGGCCACCTTTACATTAAGTTTCACTTGAGACCACCTTGAGTACTGTGTCGCAAAATGTGAGAGGGAACCATTAGAATTTTGAATACTCGTGTAGATTTATAACTTCCTGCGAACCTTGTTTTGAATTGTATGCATGTTCACGAATGGGTGAGTAGCCGTTAATTAACTCAGTGAGCTTCGGACACACCGAACTGTGGTAATGAGAAAGAGAATTCTTGACAGCTTTCATATATCTTTCACCATAACCTGTGAAGCCACGATCTTCGTAGGCGGAAATTAAGACTCTCTCTAAGAAAGAAATTAGCGTTCTTCATTCAGGTCAACGCTGTGGTCGACGAGATACTTGACTTCCAGTAACAACGGAACTATTTTAACGAATAATACGTGCGTGATCTTAAGGGCACATCAAGAATTGTTTGTTTTTCCCCTTGTCGCGACGCTTTCCTTGAGGGTTTGCTTTTATTGGAAACAAACGAGAATCCTCGTCACTGAAGATAGTAGACTTCGCTTTTCCGCAAACTGAGAATTATCGGCAAAGTAGTGCTTTTACAGGCCACGGCCAGTGCTAAATTTCGAAGATGTAATGACTTAAAATATCAAGGCGATCTAACAGAAATCGCCACGGGAACTGAACAGCCCGAGGCGTGGCGAGCGGCCAAACTTTAGTTTCCTTCCGTGTTTCCTGTTGTAATTCTTCGCATATCCTCGACTTTAAAATCGATCTCCCTAATACTTTTTAATTCGAGGAGATACAGCACAACCTCAATATAACTTTTGTGTAACTGTAAAAGAATGCATGTTACAGAAATCATAGCTGAGTGTGAGCGAGTCAGACCGGTTTGTTTTCAAAGGTAGTATTTGTCGAAGAGAGTTTTACGTCCGTGTCCAAAGTGCGAATTGTTTCATCATAATGTTGTTGAAAGATGATGCTATCGTTTCTTTAGGACGCAATCATTTGCGATCCTATTATTATCGCGGAAATCGTGTCATGGGAATACCACAGTGTTAAAAAATCTCTTTCAAGTGATATAAGCCCCCGTTTCGTGGTACGACATTGACTTTACTACACGGAACGCTTCAGCGCGTCAATTACGATTATTATCTCTATTCTATCACTCTGGTTGAGATTAGTGTAGTGATTGGTTTTATTTGCTTTGTTTACATCCTCACCACAAAACTAATAGTTTTTTTGCCGCGGAGTGAAACAATCTCATTTTTCTGAAAAAAAGTCCCTCCGATATTACTAAACACTTTCGTGCTTTTTCTCTTTCGATAGCATCACGTTGCACGCCACTTTTTTTCAAAGTTGACGTTATCTGTAAACGTGAACTAGATTTTAAAAAAGACAGACTTTTAGGTTTTGTTAGTAATCAGTTCTTCTTTTCGGGAGGGCATGAGTAGTTGGCAAAGAAAAGCATTCGTTTTCGTGTGTGACTCTTTATGTAAAGAGCTGAACGGAATGTTGTTGAAGCTACTTAACGGTAGATTTGGGGCTCATGTGAAGGTCTTAGATGGGAAACAAGATAATACATTGCCAGCATATCCGAATTGTGTGGCTTAGTTGAGTGTTACTGAAGAATTAACTGGAAAGAGAATTAATACGAAGAGATAAGCTTCTCTCACAATAATCAAATAAAGTCAAATAATCGAACGACTTTTAATTCCACTAAACCCGTCAGGAATAAAAAAAAGGCCAAGGAGAAAGAGAATCTCAAAATCCACAAATCTTGATTTAGGCTCCTAACCCTTTCATCGCATTCCCGTGAGTGATCAAGACAGAATTTCTCCTTACAATGTCAATACAATGTCAAACAGATAAGCGTTGAGAATGAAGGGAATGTGTCAATCAGGGGAGTATTAGTTGATCCATTACCAAATTCTCTACACTAACACTATAAGAATTGTATGATAGACAGTAAGGAGAATTGCTAGTGAGATCACAGGAGTGAAAGAGTTAATTAATTTGATTGTTATTTGCAGAGTTTAAGGTGCCAACTGTGTTCCATGCTGCTGGGAGATGAAACGATTTTTTAGCCATGGTTGGAGATTGCGAGTATTTTTACTTCTTATGACAGTGAGTACCGTGTTTCTTATAACCTCCCCAAAAGACGTCGTTTGGTTAACCGAGCAAGGTAAGAGGTTCTTTGAAGGTAAACTTCAACTGCAAAGAGAGAGATTTGAAGCTGTAGCGAGGAATGATTTTATCGTCGTTAGACTATGGAGCTTGAAAACTTGCCATCTTTTTTTATTCTGTTCACTGAGGATTCTGCACTCAGTAGTCTTTCTCAACAGCTGAGAACGAGGCAACGTTGCAAGAGAGCCAAAAGTCTAGGATAACTATGTGATTGGTCTAGAAGATCCGCGCCACACTCCCTACGAATAAAAAGTAAAAAGACATCAATAGTGACTGAGTCACCCGCGCTTTTTGTTTTTTTTTACCGCGCTTTTGCTTACTTTGCTTTTTGATTGGTTTAGAAAACTCGCGCAAACCAATCAAAAGTAAAAGAAACCCTAATCGTGACCGGGTAACCCGTGTTTTCCCGCGCTTTTGCTTTACTTTCTCTTTGATTGGTCTAGAAAACTCGCGCCCTACTCCTAACCAATCAAAAGTAAAAGAAATACTTATCGTGACCAGGTAACCCGTGCTTTCCGGCGCTTTTGATACTTTGGCTGTTTTTAGTTTGAGTTCTCATCGGCTGATAATGAGGTTAAAATTCGTTATGATTGACTGTCGTGATTACGTTGTTTGTTTGTTTGTTTGTTTGTTTGTTTTTTTTTTGACAGTCAATTGAAAACTGCCCTATTACTTTTTTCAGGACCTCGCTTACCAAACTACATTCCACCGGACATAACAGCAAACAGCATTGAATTAGGCGGCGATGAATCCGTGAGACCGCAAAAAAAGTCACCTAAACTCGGTCGGGAACTGAGCTCATTCGGCAACGACAAAGACTTTTCAGAGCTACAAAAGAAGCAAAAGGTGCATCTTTGTGGTTCAGAATGGCAAGAAGATTATGCGCAGCTTCACGATGACATTTTAAACAATCGTAAACCCCCAAAATATCTTATATACTCTTGTGGGGGAAAGAAATATGGTTGTGGCGGGTATGGAAACCGGCTTGGAGCCATAACTTCTCTGTTTTATCTAGCTGTTATAACAGGGCGTGCATTCCTAATAGACTGGAACAGCACGGTTCCCATTACGGACTATCTTCAACCCAAGAATATCCGATGGAATTACCCGACTACAAAACTTAAACATCTAAAGAGGAGCTATCATTACTGGGGTAAAGGAGATCACGAAAAAGTGATCAAAGAATCACAAAGATCTGCAGAAGTATACGATCTCTTTCGCAAATGGATCGAGGGTACAGACTTAAACAAGTATTTAAACTCTCCTGTGGAGGTTGTAACAAGCTTATGGTACTTTGCGTCAAGTTTTCGAGAGTATAAGTTTGCTGGATCCCTGGCTGAAAAACTCGGTGCAAACGCACGAGGCCATCGCTTCTCTCTAGTGGGTTGTGCGTTTGATTTTTTATTTAAAAGGACGCCTGACTTTGAAAAAACGTTGTCCGCTGCTCGTGAATCGCTTCATTTCAAAGCAGATGCACCACGAATTGGTATTCATATTAGAATGGGAGATACATCATTGTTGCCAAGATCTTTGGATCAAAGAACCACTAACTCTAACAGCTTTTTTACATGTGCGAAGAAGTTGGAGAGTGAAATCATAAAATCGAACAGAAAAATCCACCGTAAGGATATTAAGTGGTTTTTGGCCACAGACAGCACTGAGGTGAAGAAATACGCGTTGCAGACGTATCCTAACAAAGTTGTTTCTCTCGCGGTGAAAGTGGAGCACATGAATGTCCGTAACCCCTCCACGGAGGGGATGACTGGAGTTCTTCTTGACCACACCCTACTGTCTGAGAGTGATTTTCTCGTGCTGTCAGAGAGCAGCTTCAGCAAAACGGCTCTTGGGATGAATTTTCATTCGCTAGTGCAAAGTACATTCGGTGAAAAGTGTCGGTATAAAACAAGATAGCACCTAGTCTCATACCCAGACCTTTCACGGCCAAGCCGGGTTCAAGATAAAGGCCTACCTATTGACATGAAAACAGCAGCTCACTAAAAGCAATCGCAGTCACTCCAACAAAAAAAGTCGCATCCATCTGCTGCTCAAAGAGAGCCATGTCGAACAACCACCGTTCATGCCGTAAATTAGAGGAGACTGCTCCCGTTTATTTTGAAATGGTGATAGTTCTTCAGAATACCTGTTCATGGACAATAGAAAAGAAAAAAGAAAAGAAATTTCCTGATAAAGGACACTGAAAATCACTTGCTGGTAGGTGGTTCTGCACTGAAGTATAGAAGGAAATGTTACGTCTGTGGTAAGGTTAATCGCTAAAAGTAATGGAAGAAGAAATCTCGAAGAAAAAGACCTAATGGCTGATTGTAATAATTCAGATCTGAACAATGGTTGGGGGGGGGTTAGCTTATCAGAAACATTTTCGTGTGAAAGAAAAATACCCATAAATCTAATTTTTTTATCACTGAAAAAACGTTTTTATATTGTAATTAAAAAACGTTTGATTGTTTTAACACCTTCTTAAAGTTTTACATTTCCGAAGTCTTCTTCTCTTTAAAGAAGACTTAGAAGATATTTTGAAGTAAGTTATGTGAAAGCATCGACCAAAGATATGTATCATTTCTTTGTTCTCATTGACCTTTCGTGTTCTCTAGCTCGCATTTTATATCTTAATGAAAGAAACATCCTATTTGTGTATCACATGGCCATTTGAAATCGGCCGATATCACAACCTCACGTGCAGACATTTTCTAGCTTTCTCTGATTATTTATTTTTAAGAATGAAAATATGGTATACTTTAAAATTTGAAATGAAAAAGGTAAAAAGATCGTTAGAAGAATGAAGAGTCAATTAAAGTGAATTTTATTGTTTTTCTTTTTGTACCACTCTCTTGCCAATTTCCCGCCCCTCACCAGGCCCTCGTCAGAAGATACGAGCGAATTAGCGGGTATGAGACATGATGAGGTCACGTGCATAGCCGTTCCCTTGATAACTACATCTGCCGTTTGTCTTTCGACCATTCTTTCTACCGCTGTCATTGTCTGAGGGCCTGGAACAGACTATTCTTAAGCTAATACACCGATACCTTCTTCTTGAAGTCTTTTATTGATACTTGCGGACGTATCCCTTAGATTATTTTCTTACTTGCGGACGTATCCCGTAGTTGATTATTTTCCCTCCTCTCGTCACTCTAGATCTACTAATGATGGGCGGACACTGGAAAGAGAACTTCCTCTTTGGTCAGTCGAAAGGGGTGAGAGGGTTAAAATAAATTAGTGACCATGTGCAGAGGGAGGGATTCATAGGATAACCAACAAAGAGATGTTAACTCATCAGTACTGAGAATTTACGTTTTGATCAGTGGAGTGCATGCTCGCACTTATTTCCAAACGTAACTGTTTGTGCGGGATGGAACTTCAACTCGGCCGCCGTGAGACCAAAAGTACTCCGTGACAAAATAAGGAAGTCACACTCAGATAACAGAAAATGGTCCAACATGACATTGAAAATACCCTCCACTGGCTCTGAGTCTCTACGCTTCCTTCCAGCGAGTGACGTTATGTGATGCGGGGTTATATCCAGGGTGACCACATGTGAAGCATAGTTCTTCAGTGCATATTGTTTCACTTCCTTATCATCTGTGGCCAGAAATAACTTGATGCCCATCTGAAATCCCTTTTGTTTGCGTAGATTTTGTGCACAGTGGAAAAAGGCCCTGTAGTTAAGGTTGTTGGATTTTGAACCTCTCTGCAAGGACACATCGCCCATCCTTATGTGAAGGCCCACTTTGAAAACTTTATTTGTGAGACCGAGCGAGAGTCTAGCTGCGCGGAGCCTGGTTTCTAGTTCTTTAGACTTGAGAAAAAGGAAATCGAAAGCGCATCCTACCAAGGAGTCATTGGTCCCTCTTCGCAATTCATCTAAGTGATTTTCAAGTAAAGGCTTTTCCAGTAAGGCGTTCGCAAAATTCCAATTACCGACAATTTTCTCGACGGGGTGCTTGAAATACGATGAGAGGTCAGTGTGCCGAATCCACGTTTGAAAATCTAGTTTTGTCTTCCATGGCTTCAAAACATCGTTTCGTATCTGCTTGAAATGCTCTTTTTTCCCTATATAATGTATCCTCGTATCAAAATGTTCTAAATTCTCCATAGGATAGTTCCACTGAACACCTTTGGGGACGAGGTAACGTTCGAGCGGGGCTTCATGGTCCCATTCTATTAAAAACGCTCTTTGCGTCAAGATAGAGAGAAATAAAAGTGAAGTTATTCCTCCCAGTCTATTTCCATAACCCCCACACCCATATCCTTCTTCTGTGCAGGTAAACACGATAAACCTTTGCGGGCGCCGTGCCTGAAGAATGTCTTGGTGAAGTTTTTTGTAACTTTCCTGCCAGTTATGGCCGCATCTTGCCTCTTTACGTTGTTCATACGTTGGCATTTGTCCAAGTGAAAATCGTTCGCCATTTAAATCGTCATTGCCATGAAATGGATACAACGAACGCCAGATTTCTAAAGAATAAATATATCTTATTAACCAAGCGCGAGGGCCGTACTGGGAGAATATCGGCCCGAGGTCTTGACAGTACGGACCGAGCAAGCTTGGTTAATTAGAGATTTATTATACGACTGAAGTTCAAAGTGACACAAGTGCCGTATCATTCGGGACCATTCGGGACAGTGCCCGGTCCAATACTGAGAGAATATTGACCGGCAATAGAGCATTTTGATTGGTTGATTTTAGTTATTGGCCCTCTTACTGCCCGAGTCGTGTAATAAAATATAATAATGATAGAAAATGTCAAGGTATAGACCACTTTCATAAATGGCTGCCGGATTAATATTATTTTGTTTAATTTAAATTAGCCCTACTGGCCTCGTTCTCAAGTACAAAATTCAAAATAATACATTATCTCAAGCGAGGCCAGAAGGGCTAATTTAAATTTAACTTGAAAAAAATATTTATACGGCAACCATTTATGAAAGTGGTCTATGAGCTAAATATTTTGATTAAACAAATGACATTTGAAATCTTTTGTAGTGAGTGTATCTTGGGGTGGGTATTAATTGACCAGCAGTACGGGTGCGAACAGACTCAAAATTGGGTACTAAACGACTGAGTACGAAACGATTGGGTATCCTCTCGCTCCTCCCTTCTGAAGGTACCTGCTGAGGGAAGGAGAGAAACCCTGGGAACGAGGTTGGGTTACCTCCATTTCGTCGTATTCTAATTGTTTACATCTTTCACTTCCCAAAATGCCTAGAGTTAGCCATAAAAATCATCTGATCGATATGAGTACTATATTAAAAAGAAGTACCTGGATTTGGCATTTCTCCTGTCACATGCTTGCCCTCTGTTCCTTTATCTCGTTGGAAAAGCCAATAAATGGAAAACATGGTCACGCTAAGAAACAGAATCACTTTTTGCCGAGTCCGCAAATTTCGTGTACATTTCGTCATCATGGCTTTAGATCAATTACCTACAGAATTAAAGAAGAATTACAATTATACTCAAAGCTACTGAAGAAGGGATTTTCAAAAGTAATGTTCTTAAAGCTATGGTGGGCTTTCCACGGTTTCAGTATGGCTTGATCAAAAGCATCTTTAGAAGGTGACGATATTTGTGTTCGGTGTAATAGCCCTTTTTACAGTTACCGGCGCCATATTGGATGTGTAACCGCGCAAACATGATAGCGAGGTTAGTGTTGAGTCGCGTTGCGAGTTCTAGTGAGAGTTTAGTGAAATGTGGTGGTGCTCTGTCCTTTTCATCGAGATATTTCGACAATGAACGATACTTTCCCTACGCAGGATATTCCTCCTTCCTCTTCGAAAAGAAGAGGAAGACACTGTGCCGCTTTTTGGTTGTGCTAATAGCTATTATGACACA